GAAAAAAAAACACATTAATTAGAACAAAATATTATAGTTTCAAGTTCATATCCTTCAGGGCTGTCAGTTCTACTACTTGGGGTTGTAAGTATCTATGGTGACACTAAGTTTAATGATGTCTCTTACAAACTAGAAAGTAATGTCCTTGAGGGAAGAAGTCAAATCTTATTCCAGTTTGTATCCCCATATCTAATGCTACTTGGTACTTAGTAGTCTGTTAGGATTTGTTAATAATTGAATAAATGAATACATAAACAGTTATTTCTATGCTCTTCAGAATTGACAAATTGCCAGATCTTCAGAAATTTAGTTATTTGTGACCCTGGGAAAATTTTTTAAAGTCTCTAAGCCTCAGATTAGCCCTTTGAGGGCTGTGAGGATTAAGTGGGATGATGCATATATAATGCTTAGCACAGCATCTACACCCTCTAATAGTAGGTATAGGTACAATTCATCAATAATGATTTCATTTCTAGAGATTGTCCACACCCATTTTAAACAAGAAAATAGCAACAACAAAATCTTGTGAAGTATCAGATAGAGAAACAGGGTAAGGCCTTAAAGCCAAAAGAGCATTGTTGCTGAATATAAATTAAGAATTATAAAATGCATGCTGTGCAAAACTAAAGTGCTCTACAGGGAGAAAGAGAAATCTTCCAGGGATTTTTTTTGTCGTTGTTGTTCCCCATTGAATTAAAGCTGTTAGGACTTATTTTTTGCCTTGCTTTTGTGACAGCATTGGCATTGTGTAGTTTTCCAGAGATGCAAATAGTGAATGATGGATCATTTTGGATATTAAAAATTGCTAACCTTTTTCTTTCTGCTCACCGGAGACTTCTCACTCCAAACTTTCACAAAATGCAAAACTGCAAGTGTACGTTGCATATATTTAGTCTTTCTGAAGCTACTGGCCAAACCCCATGATGCAAGACTTCTCTTTGTGGGCAGAGTAAATGCTTGGCAGAATAGCATCCTTTGTGAGTACATGCACATGGAAAAATTGAGATAAATACATGAAATTCTCATTTTGCTCATTTTCAAGAAAGTATTAGGGACCCATGCAGGATTGCCTTTTGTGCTTGTCTCATTCTTTCCATTTCATGCATTTTAAGAATTTATAAGATTCTTGTCTGAGGTAAAGCAGTAATTGGAACGATTTAATTTAATATTAGCAATTTTAACAAACATTTCATTTGTGTGTAGTAGTATAAGAACTATTAGACATGGAAGACTTCTTTTTTTTTTAGGCTTCGATGTTGATTTATGAAATAAATATGCCATGTAATAAAGATCATGTAAGTTCCCAATAGTAACTGGCTTTAAAAATCAGTGGGCATTCTCACTATACATTTTCAGAGAGTATTTTTATAAAGAGGCAATAATTGCAAGTGTGAGGTATTGTTTTTCCCTCTGTTGAGATTCCAAGATCTATACTAGCCTTTCAGATTTCAGACAAGCTACCTAAGGAATTATTTTTAAAGTGTTCTCACCGATGGTTTTAAAACCCTTCTTAATCATTCAAAGGCACTTTTGTTAATCTTGAGAGAATAAAAAATACAGTTTTTTTATGATGCATACCTCGTGTTTTATTAAAATGTGATGCCACCAAATAATGTCACCTAATCGTAGTGATATCAAAATGCTTAACCTTACAAATAGTTATACTTTTGCAGTCTATGAGCAGAGGGCATAATAGTAAAACAAAAGCAACAATTGTCTTTATGTATGATTTGCTGCTTGCTTTGTGTGCGATAGTTAAAAACTATTCAGGGCCAGGAATATTATAAGGCAGTATTTTTATCTCCAGGTAATATAGCTGTCCTGTATCATATTTTGTTGATATCTCCACAGATGTATTTGTCATCACTCACCACAACTATCTTGGTTGTTATGCTGTATTGATTTAGGCTATTGCTAGCAATGTTGCAGGAACTCTGGTTTTAAAGACCAGTGCCTATTAACCATATTTGCTGAATCTGGAGCATGTTGAGGGAGTATTCACGGCTCAGTGTTTTGTGGGGTTTTTCTGGGGTTTTTTTTTTCCTTCACATCAAAGCTATTATGGAAATAATCAGAAACTATTTTCATGATGCATGTCAGCCTGTGAAAGTGGAGTCAATGTAGCCCCAGCATTAGTCCTTTGGTCTCAAATACTTAATTAGAAAGCACACCGTGAAACAGTTGGGACTTGATCTATAAAATGACAATGGGTTATAATTAGATCTGAAACTGTAAATGAGTACAAAAGGGAAGGTTTTATCAGGAAGTTTATACATGATAAATGTCTAGAAAAGGCTTATCTAAGTGTTTTAAGGGTCTATGTCATTTTCTTTCCTTTTCATAGCATATAGATTTCTTTCAAGAACAATTATATTATTAACATTACTTGAAATCGATATTAGATTTAACTGTTTCCAATGTAAATGTTGTTCTTCTATTTAAGAAACCGCCATGCTTACCAGGTGTAAAATGAAGGCTTATTGCATAAATCATGTGCTTTATTTTGAATTTCTTGCCAAAGAAAATGGCAACAGATACTGTGAAAGAGTATCTTGGCTTCTCATGAGCTGCATCCTTAGCCTTAATGCTCTCAAAGCCAGACAGTGGTAACTTTTGGGCTTGTTGTTATCCACTTCACAATTATTCCATTTCCTTGAATGATCGCTATACTTAGGCAGTAAACTACAATCAAACATGTACCTGGCACAATATAGAGACTTCATCATACTTATTGAATGAATCAATCAATCAGTGGACTTCACAAATAAAAATATGACAAGATAAAGACAGAGATAAACCCATGATAGAGTATATGAAAGGTGCCAATAAATGCTATAGTTATTCTCATAACAAAAAAAAATGAATGTGTCCTGGTGTGGTCAAAGCT